TATTTCAAACAAAAACATTTTCTAGCAACAAATTAAATAATGATATATAGAAGAGGCCTTAAAAATATGAAAGTACATTATTAAATTAAACGATGAATTTGTTTTTGCCAGATATTTTTTGTATGAGAAAGCCTAAAAACAAAGATTTTAAGACAAAAAAATTATGGCGGAGGACGTCATTATTGCTGGTTCTTTTCATTTTGAAATCCACACACAGAGATAGATTATTTTAGTTTGGTATTTTGTTTCTTCATATTTAGAAACAGTGGCTGCTGAAAACGGGAACATTTTGGAGACACACCGCAGAAAATGTCTCTGCAATTTTCTTTGTTGATTGGAAACACCACATTGGAAACACATGTAATAAAGCCATATAGAATATATAGGTTTCGAAAATGTTTTTTATTTGTGGCATACCGTTTCCATTTTGTGTCAAGAAACAGAGACACGATTATTAGAAACATTACCTAAAACGTGTCCAAAATGCTACTTGGAAAAGAACCCCGTAATTTTATATGTATACTAAAGCTTTGTCGTATAAAAACTTGTTGCAGCCTTTTGTACTTAACAACACCACCATTGACGTCGTCAAATCTGTAAAGTAGTTAGGGCTTGTTGTGGACAATTCTCTGAAATGGGACATACATATCGAAGCTTTGTCGAAAAAATTGAGCTCTGCCTGTTTTGCATTAAGGTCTGTTTCTAAGGAGCTTAACTTGTCAGTGGCTAGAACTGTTTATTATGCACTTTTTGAGTCGCACCTCAGGTATGCCCTTCCATTCTGGGGTACGTGTTGTGCGACTCAATTTGACCGCATTTTTAGGCTCCAGAAGAGCTGTTCGATATTCACTGGGATTAAACAGCAGAACTCATTGCCGGGACTTTTTTAAAAAATTAAAAATATTGACTCTTCCTTCCTTATTTATATTTGAATCCGTTTGCCTAATACGTAAACATGTATCAGCTTCTCAAGAAAGGCCATCTCACACTTATCCACTCAGAAACGCGGAGCAAGATCTTTATCTACCTACCCCACGCTCAGAGTTAGGTAAAAGTTCAATATTATACAACTCGAAAAAATGCACAATCACCTGCCATTTTGAAATCAAATCCATAACATCATTTTTTCATTTCGCAAAGCATTGAACTCTTATTTACTAGACAAGGCTTTCTACGCCGTAAATGAATTATATTTTGAAAATCAAATTTGATCTTGTAAACACTGGTCTAATGTTTGCTATTGCTATATTTACTAATGACATCGAAATGAATTTATTTAGAGGTCTTTGATATTTTACTGTAAACTAGCTAAATATTTTTGAATATTATTTTTTTGTTCTTTGACATTATAAACATTTATAAATGTTTATTTTAACAATAAGACTGGCAATATTATTTGTATAATGTTTTGTATTATCTTTTGTTTGTTTGTTTGTGTACCTTGTTTTTTTACTTTGTTTGTCAGTTTACCTTTGTCTACAAATTGAAAAATTTTTTAACAATAAAGGCATTTATTTATATTTATTATTTTATTTATCCAACTATATTTAAAAAAAATATGCAATATCTTTTTTTACTAATTTTCTGTTTTGTATGGATTATTTTCAACGACAGCTATAGTCTGTAAAACGAATAACTTTGAATTTGACAGTTCCCGGGGGCTTTTCTAGTGTAAATTTTATTAGGTTAGCAACTTGCGGCCATGCTGATGCAATGCCGTCTCTAATAGAACAGCCTCCGAGCGAGATTTAGTACGTTACGCTAGTTAGATACTACGGATTAATTATGTTGTAGAGTACATAGAAAACATAATTGTTCCTCGTATATGTAATTTTTTGGATTATATTCGACACTATTTTTTCATATGACACAACACTGATGAAGGCTATAAACGTTAGCTATAACGTTTTTTTAAACCAACAAAAATAATGAAAAACCAAATAAAAACTTAATCAGCGTTTTTCCGAACCTAAATTCCAAGGAAATCAAAAATTTTAGAATAATTTTACAAATAAAATGACAGCGATCTTTATTTCATAGCCATCGCTGACGCCTTTTTCTATTATTGTATTATTTGCAAATATAATTTTTCGAACATTGATGCTTGCAAAATATACATATAAATTTTGTGAATGGAAATAATAATATATCACTATTAGTAGATATTGAATGTTTTTTGTTAAATTAGATCGATTTTCAAACCCCAAAATTTAAAATATATTTTACATTTTACCGATTATCTTATGTACCTATTCATTATTTGTATATTGTAAAACATTTATTAACTGTATATTATGTATATTTCATGTAAACTATATCATTCTTAAAATACAAACCAAAAATACGAGGAATAATTATGTTTTCCATGTATTCTACAACATATTTATTAATCCGCGGTATCTAACTAGCGTGACGTCATAAATCTCGCTCCGAGGCTATTCTATTAGAGACGGCGTTGGTCTGATATTTAGAAATGTCAAAGGCTGATGACATTTTACTTTTGTCAGTTATGACATTTCGCGTTGATTTTTGCAAGAAGAGGAAGAACTGTCACTTGTTTTATTATTTTCCTTTTCTATTTCACGAAAGTAAAAAGAGTTATCTATCTGATTCGTTCAGGCACTCATTTTAAAGAATATCAGTAACTTTTTGGACAGAGAGATTTTATATTTGCCATGTTGGTAAAAAATAACGGTCAAAATTCAAAGTTATTCATTTTATAGACTATACAATAGTTGAACGTATTTTATACGTCATACATCTTTATTATTGAAATGGTGCATTATTTTCTAGGATATTCAATGTGTTAATCTTAAGAGCATCGTAGAAATATATGGTTCAACAAAATCGAGGCGCAAAGTCTTAAGTATTATAGAGCTGAATCTGGAAAAATATTTAATACGTTCCGCAGCAAGCGCATCAGTGTAAAAATACAAGAAAAGAAAAATAAAAGTTAAAAGCTTTTGGATGGATATGAGTGAAGAGTATGTTTCGTAGAGTGACGTACATACACATACTGCTTTTATTTAGATTCGCATATTCGAATCAAAATATCAATACTTTTATCTACAGTGTGTTTACATATATTTTAGTCGATACCTGGTTTTTTAAAATAGTTAAATTATGAAAGTTTTAATAAGAATTTTAAGGTAGTCTTTGTTGAATAAACTACGCAAGATTTGAACACTTCAAAATATTTTCATTACTCTTGCTCTGTATTTTTTATAAAATCTGCAGGATGTTTGAAAAACTATTAATCTTAGGTATAGAATAACAGCGTGTTTATAATTTCATGTATCCAATAATCCAATAAAAAACATAAATCCGTAGCCAAAAAGTGGAAAATATTTTAAAAAGAAAGTACACATTGAAATATTATTTATCTAAAATACCAGGTTTGTATTTATACTCCCAAGGATTTTGGACGCACTTTAGGTAATGTTTCTAATAATCGTGTCTCTGTTTCTTGGCGCGAAATGGAAACGATATGCCACAAATAGGAAACATTTTCGAAACCTTTATATTTTATATGGCTTTATTACATGTGTTTCCAATGTGGTGACTCTAGCCGTTTCCTGAAATGTTTCGATGCGGAATCAAAACTTTTAGAGGAAATGTTTCGAAACATTTTCTGCAATTTGTGTCTAAGATGTTCCCGTTTTCAGCAGCCCCTGTTTATAAATGTGAAGAAACAAAATACCGTACTAAAATAGTCTATGTGTGTGATTTTAAAATGAAAACAACCATAAACAATGTCGACCTTCGCCATAATTTTTTTGTCTTAAGATCTTCGTTTTAGGTTTTTTCGCACAAGAAATGTTTGGCAAAAGCAAATTCATTGTTTAATTTAATAATGAACTTTCACATTTTTAATGCCCCTTCTATATATCATTATTTGTTGCTACAAAATATTTTTGTTTGAAATATAGATTTTTATTTTTATTTATAGATCATGGGTTTGAAAATAAAAATATATATTAATGTAAGTAGAACGCGTTGTTATGAGTTGAAAAGCTCAACAGCCGATAAAAACATATATTTTTATTTAAAACGCTATCACTAGCCAACATGGCGGAATTTTAATTCATTATTTTATAAAATTGACATGGAGTCGGACAGAAATCATCTACATTATATCATATTTGTGTCTAAAAAGAGAGAAACTCGTGTTTCGAAAACGAACCGATAATAAATGGAAACCTCATTTCCAAAATGTTTCGATTTAGCGCTATCTGTGTAGAAATTTTGAACTAGTCAACTTTTAACGCCAATCAAAGCTTCTGGGCAAAATAATTAAAACATTTTTATTTACTTATTATAACACAATTAAAACATAAAAACATGTATTCCATTGTATAAAAGTAAAAATGTTTGCTGGTAACATTTTGCTTCGGTCTCCTGTTAGGAATGGGTAGTGGCTGTTATTACATTTATTCCTAAAACAAATCATCTCTGTAATGCGTATAATAAATTAGTATAAAATCGCATAAGAAAGATATCTGTATTGGTACTCACCACATGTTCTTCCTTCTGATTTTTTAATTATAGTACATAAAAACTTGAAGAATGCTTAAATACAAAAACTGCAGAACAAAATCCAAACAATAAGGTAAGGTAAGGTTATGTTCTCATATTTCACAGAATATCAAATAGATTATGGAAACTTTTCAGACACAAGACGGGTACGAAATCTGTAAATGTGAGCCACATCTGTTTCTTAAAAGTTTCGAAAAATATGTGACACTAAGATCTTTATTGTTGTAGCTTATATAGCGAAATCATATTTTGGTAAAATGTTTCGAAACAAAAAGCGATTTATGTTACGAAACATATGTATCAAAAATGTGACGAAACTGTTCCGCAATGTCTTTCAGCAGAGATTTTGTTTCGATTTTGTGTCTAAAACTGCCACTTGGGTATTATTGAAAGCCGAATAATTTAAGTTACACATGCTACCAATTTTTTCCAATTCCAATTGCTAATTATGATTTTGATTTTAGCGAAACCATGTCTGTCCAGGCTTTCCGTTATGTTCAGCAACAAAGTGAAAAATACTTTGATATGATAACCACCGATAAAAAGAAATTAAAATCATGGTCCAGACGTCTTCACCTAGCTGTCGTAGCTTACAGAGAACTGTTTCAAACACTCTCCGCCATGGACCGATCTTCAGATGTGACAGTTCGTGAATCATCGGACGTTATAAAAAGCAACATCTTCTACGTCTTGGAGTATAGGGAGTTTGTCTTGACGTTGCTGGTGACGTACGACGAAATCAAGATGTCGGACTCGTATCTGATGGATTTGATCGAGACCCAGCATATATTTGTGAGAATGCTGGAAGCGTTTGTGAAGAAGGACGGTTGTGTTATGGTGCAGGCAAAAGGAAGAAGAAAGCAGAAGAAGAAACAAAAGAAAGGTAAGCTAATGTTTCTTATTATATATTATTTGAGTGGTATTCCTATTAAATATATTCTGTTTTTTTAAAGTTCCATGGGTATTATAAAAACTTAGATTTTCTACGAAAACCTGGAGTGGTAGCTAAAAATTACCTAATACCATAAGTAACTAAATTATGCATTTGACGCGTGCAGAAAATACAGGGTGTTCTATTAAATTAAACGAAAAAAAGTGATTATAGTTTGAATCTGTTAATTTGGGACCCCCTGAACCCTTGAAATAATTTTAAATTGTAACTTAAATAAGTGCAAATATTTATAGCGCTGGTAGATCTTGATAAAGGAAAGAAGCTCTCAAGCTTATGTGGGATATTTTTGAAAATATGTTTATAGTTTATTATAATAATTGTACATATTTATAAATAAGTAAATAAATATTTCCTTTTTACCTTTTTTCAAGTAAGTCCGAAATAACTGAAAAATAATCGAGTCATTTTACTTTGAAAAAAAAACCACTGGATCTTTTCTGTTTTTTTTTTCTTGCGAATTTAAAAAAAAATCAAAAGTTGGAATTTTTTGAAAAAAAATTTGAGATTTTGTTTTTAGATTATTAAATTAAACCTATATTGCCATATTACCAGATTTTAATTTTTTTTTCAAAAAATCTCAAATTTCCAAAAAAAAAATTTCGCGAAAAAAATCATAATCGTGTTTCTGGGGTCAATCTATTCGTTTGTCTAGAATACACCGCGTTGAATAGCGGAAATAATCCTGTATTTTAAATGGGTTATATAACATAAAAACATTCCTCGGTCTTCTGCCATTCTAGTGTCTACCACTTCCTTCCCGTCTAAAGAAACGTATACTGTTAATCGGTCACTTTGACGCCCCACGTTGGGCGCTAAATATAATAGGGGAGTAAAATAAAAGAGATTTAAGCATTTTTTAGACATCTATTTATTAAAATAATAAAATTATAACGGGATATACACGTTATAGAACGTTTTTGTGTAATTATTATTTCTCTTTTTATGACGACCAATAAGATAAAAATATAAATGAGGATTCTGAGACTTTTTATTTCAATTTCGATTTAAAATTAACACATAATGTTTTAATCAACAAACTTGTACTTATTGGTGATGTTAATGAAATAAAAGTTCTTATTAATAATGAGTAACAGTTGAACTAGTTGATGTTTATAATCTCTTAATAGACAGCTATATAGGATAGCAAAGTACGGTCAAAAATATCAAGTTACAAAATGCCGGTAGGCATTGGGTTAATGATTCTAAGAGATACAACACTAATACAAAGTTTTAACTCCGCAGGCAATTGAATTACTAAACTTTATCGCCAACTTAACATTAACAAAATAGAATAAGCGGGATATCTTCTAACATGGAAAATGTCGTGGGTTGTATAACAACAAGCCTGTAGGCTATTTGGAGCGGCAGGATTTTACCAGTTTTGGGTTTGTTAGGTTATCTTGAGTAGGATGTGTGAATTTTGATTGTATGGAGGGTAACAACTATAGCGTAAAATACAGGGTAACTCAGTATTCCCCATTTTTTACTCAAATGAGGAATGAGGGCACATATAAAAACATTTTTAGAAGTATATAGGTTTGGTTTGGAGTCATTTTACTTTGAAAATTTCCAAAAAAATTATTTTGTGTTTAAATTTTTGGAACCACTGGATTTTTTCTGGGTTTTCTTTCTTGTAAATTTGATCTACTACCTATGTTGCCATATTATGAAGCAATAATGTTTAATTAAAAACAAAATCCCAAAAAAATTTTCAAAGAATTCCAAATTTTGAATTTTTTTTTCGAAAATAAACCTTATTGCTATGTTTCTGGGGTCGAAACTAATACCTTTAAAAATATTTGCCCTTATTTAAGACCCACCCTGTATACCTTATATGATGTCTTTTTTTCTTTATTTTTATGGAGTATAATCAATTGTAATGTTGTAATTGCACCGTTCCGTGAAATTGAATTGTAAACAATCTTCTCACAATAAAACCGACGTTTTAATTGTTAAAAGCATAGCAAACATATTTCGGAAATACTCCGTCTGGACCCTTTCAATTGATGGCGACTACTACGTCTTTGATATGTACCCTTAAAATTAATACCTGAGGCTAGTCGGGGCCCCGTTACAATGGACTCCTGTATAAAATATAAATTGCAAATTAAATTTGGGCGGCTAGCGGCATTTTGGCGGTATCAGAATTTATTTACCGAGGTGCGTGGCTGCTTTTTCACTCCGCCGCAATTAATTATTGACGGTGGGGGGCAGGGATGTATAAACGTCGCAGGTTTTTTAATTTATTACATTAACTAAATACGAGTACTAATTGGTGTAAATTAAATAGGCCTGTAATGATATAGTTCTTATATTGTAACTTTTTAAGGAAAAAGCGATCCTGTAATTATTTTTTAAATAAAAATTAGATGTTATAAATAAAAACAGAGCTGTAATTAATTCAAATTAATTAAAATATTGCCTATATATACGATTAATAGCTTATTACACACAGCACTTAAAACGCACGCAATACAGGCGATGTATCGGCAACAGAGGGTCTCTGTAAAATATATTTTGGTCATAGTATTCTGGGAAGATAAACGCGAAAAAATGATTTTATTGTGTTAAAATGTCACTTTTATTTCAAAAAGGAAAATAAAACATTGTTTTTTTTTATAATATTTATGTAACTAAAGAAATGAGATTTTAAAACAAATAAATATCAAATTTGAATTACCTGTATCCTGTAAACCCTTTTTAAGGTTATACATTAATAAAACAACTTATTAATTATTCAATTACTTTGCAATGTTTGCGTGTAATTATCTGTAATAAATTATTGTCAAGATGATTTGATATTACCATGGATAATTTAGGGCACTGTTTATTTAGCTTTGTTTGATTATGAGTATCCTTTTATGGCCTCATTAGCGTTAATGGGAATATAATTTTACCCTTTAATAATACATAATATTATAATATTTTTATGTGATATAAAGGATACTTATAAGGGAGAATTTAAAAGAACTATAGTTGCTTTTGATATTATCTATACTTTGATAATTTATTTACTTATTTTTTATACGTTTAAGCTTTAAATTTTAAGAATGTTGGAATATTTATTTTTAAAAACTTTTATTACCTTTATATTTTTAGTCATTGTGAAATACAAGACAGACAGATTCAGTCTTACAATCTTTACAAACATTTAGGAGTAGTCTAATAAAATAGTATCTAGTAAAATATCTTTTTGGTACGCTGAATATGTGAATTATGTAATAAATTGGTAATTAATAATGAACCCAACCCTGGTGGGGAGTTTAGACATAGTCATATTTTTATTTTCTCCGTCAAGTTGATTTTTAATTTCATAACCACACTCGAATGTTATGTAAATAACGAGTTCTAGATTTGCGAGGGGACTCACCCTCTTTTTTGAAAAATTACGTTGTTTTTTTTTATTTACTCAGTTACTTAAACAGAACGTATGGAAATTAACTTCATAATTTCTTTATGTATTCATGGTTTTTTGTCTTTTTGTTATTCTGTGCAAAGAAAAATAATTACCACAATGTTTTTTATAATTGTTTAATATACAGGGTGAACCGAATTGTATGACTGAAATGACTGAAATATTTTCATGGTGTCTGTCTGTCTATCCGTCTGTAACACGATAACTCAAAAACCGCTAAACCGATTTTAACCAAATTTGGCACAAAAATACTGTGGCACCCGAGAATCTGGCCATTAGTTTTTGGTGGGGATGGGGGGTTGGTAAGGGGATATGGGAGGGGGTTAAAATTTTTAAAAAATTGTGACTCCAAAATTACAGTAGCTAGCGAAACGCGGTTTTCAATTTAAGATTAGGAATAATATTTGCAACAAAATTTGTAATAACATCAAAATCAATCAAAGTCGCAGTTTTGGAGATAAAAAAAATGGAAAAATTCCTTTACTTTGAAACTAAAAGAACTGCTTACCAACTTTTTATAATATATTTTAGTATGGGCGGCTATACGCATATACAAACTAAAATATATGGGAAACTGAAATTGAGATCTTTGAAAGGACTTTTTCACCGCAACCAGTTATACACAAATGTGTTAGTTCCGTGACGAACCACCGGTCGCGCTTAAGGCGAAAATATTTAGGCAGTTCAAATCAAATCAAGTCAGTTCTAATCAAATAATATGCAACGTCAAAAATCGAAAAAAGTTTTTCTAAAATTTTAGTGATTGTTTAAACTTTTTATTAAAAAAAATGATGGAATCAGACCATAAACCCTTTCACGAGCCCTTTCATAAGTATGTTGTGTCGGCGCCGGCGTTCATGGATTTGTTTTCCAAAAGACATACCTACATTCTCGAAGAACGATCCTACATTATTCCAAAAGTGATATCAAGTGCGAAACCTTAAAATGGAAAATACAACACACCAAGATATTTAAAAAATTTATAGAGTTTGTGATTTACATTTTTGTAATCAAGATTACGTACCTGGAATAAAAAGAGATTTAGAAGTTAATTCTCTTCCAAGTGACTTTTTATATACACCAGTTCATATGGGTAAATATATGTATTTAGTTAAATAAAGAACGTTTTGAGATATTTTTATCTAATAAAATTAAAATAATCTTTCAGATGATCAACCTACTGGTAATTTGGTGTCCAGTGATGTCGATCCAGGTACAAACCCTGTATTTAAAGACAAACATTTGTTGTAGAACTTGTTGGTGGACCACTCTCGTTGGAATTAGACTTGTACTGTTACCTGAGAAAAGCAGTAATTGAAAAGGGTAGGTACCTACACCGTGGGCCAAATTAAAATCGCAAAATATTCAGTAATGAAGATCAACATTATTTAAAAAAAAATATCATATCAACTTTATAACAAAAAATATTTTAATTGAGCTTCAAATAAACAAGTTATGTCACTGGCTACTTTAAACTGGCAGAGATTGATTCAATAATTATTAGATATTCCAAAGT